GGGGAAGGTGTTAAAACCCCTTTTCCCTCTCAGGGTTGAGCTGTACCAAATCTCGACAAAGCTTAACCCAGTAAAAGTTGTCTATAAACCCATACGCAGACTTAGAATAATATTTGCATTTTCTTAATACTGTAAACTTGACCCTTCTCTTTACACTCTTCGCTTCCACATTGAGGCCCCTGTGGCTCACTGTGGCTCACTGTGGCTCACTGTGGCTCACTCAGCAAGTGTCTCAGCAAAACAGTGGAGAGCAATACATGTACTGTACAGTGAATCAAATCCTTTTTTTCACGTTCAAGCACATATAAAAGTCTAATAACATGTTTATATACACTATCATATATTAAATTGAGCAATAGAGGTAGGCCTAAAAAAATCATATACACTACACACATTACTTACGTCCTTGGATTTCACTTTTTTTTTTTTTTAAATCTGTTGAAGAATGTAATAAAATCAACGAGAGTCAGCATTCTGACTGTAAAAATATTGAATTTTTAGTCAAACTATTTTAATTTTAGTGGTAAGGAGGAAACAGTCTTAAAAAAAATAATGTGTCAGTATATTGGACTACAAGTGTAATATGTACCTGGTGTTCCAGGAACTGCCTGGAGGAGGTCATCAAGTTCCATCTTAACAGTAACGGGACACAACTAATGTTCGATCTTTTCTTCTTCTACCTTCTGCCTACGATAACTTGAGAACGTCTATTCCGATAGTCTTCAAACTTTCAGGGTTGGTGTATCTTGCTTAAAGAAAAGAGGTTCGAATAAAGGAATGTGCTGTGTAAATGAGAATATATCAATTTTATTCACGCAAATAGTACAGCAGTTTGTTTGCTATTCCTTGACAACTACAACACGTTCACGGATCGGCTACAAACTTTCAACACTGTGGTATCCCACATAAGTGACGGTTCGAGTTAGTATTAAAGTGTGTACGTGTCAATATGCAAATGTAATTAAAGACTTTTTGCATTTTTCCATGAGTGACTCTTCCTATTTCATTTTTCATTAAAGAATATACTATGTAAAATATATATATATATATATATATATAATATAATATATATATATATAAAATATAATAATATATATTTTTAATATAGGATGGGGTCCACCCTGTTGTAAATTGGGGGACCCATAGCCTCGGAGAAGTGGATAAAAAGGCTTCAAGGAAGAATATTTGGATTTCTTTCCTGAAGCCATTTGAATATTCCACTTCCCCTACCACCCCATCTTCTAAACTATTTTTTTTTACCAATAGGAATATTTTTTTACATAATATGGCACAGAAGATTTAAGAGATACATTGTTGATAATAAAGGTGGCATATACGGTACATGTTGTTACGTGTGTATCACCGATTAAAGGCGAAAATCTCATCCGGGCTCCTCAGAGCGGGGGCGTGTCCCCAAAATGCAGCATGCATTACCCCTTTGAACAGCAGCACTGAGCCGCTGAACAAAAAACTAGCTGCCCTGGGATCCCTATTACCCTGATGAGTCTTTTTCCCAGCCCCTTTAAGGGAAAAATTAGATGCACTCTTTTCCCATGAGCCAAGGGTCTCTGAGCCATGGGAACAAACATATAATGATGGGCAATTTCTCCATATTTTCTTAGACTT